TGACGACGGATGACGACGACGACGACGACAACGACGACGACGGTGCCAACGATGACGGCGCCGACGACGACGACGACGAAGGCGACGACGACGACGACTCAGACGTTGGCGAACCCGGACGACGACGACGAAGACGACGGCCGACGACGACGACAACGACGACGACAATGACGACGACGACGGCGACGACAACGGCGACGACGGACGACGACCATGACGTCGACGACGACAGCGCCGACGACGACGATGACGATGACGACGACGGACGACGACCACGACGACGACGACGACGACCGACGTTGGCGACGACGGAAACGGCGACGACGACGACGACGACCACGACGACGACGACGTTGGCGGCGGCGGCGGACGACCGACGACGACGACGGCGACGACGTCGACGGACGACGACGACGACGACGACGACGACGACGACGACGGACGACGACGACGATGACAAAGACGGCGTCGACGGCGCCGACGACGATGACAACGTCGACGACGACGAGGGGAAGGACGACGACGACGACGGCGACAACGTCGGACGACGACGGCGCTGACGACGACGATGGACGACGACGACGACGGTTGCGACGGACGACGACGACGACGACAAAGACGACGACGACGACGACGGACGACGACGACGGACGACGACGACGGACGACGACGACGACGACAGACGACGACGTCGAGGACGACGACGACGACGCCGACGACGACGACGACGACGGCGACGACGACAACGGCGACGACGACGAACGACGACGACGGCGACGTCTTTGACAACAATGGTGGCGACGACCGACGACGACGACGATGGTGGATGACGACGGCGCCGACGACGACGACGACGACGGACGACGACGACGACGGATGACGGGTTGTGATGGTGGACGACGACGGACGACGAACGACGACGACGACGGCGACGACCACGACGACGACGTCGACGACGACCACGACGTGGACGACGACGGCGATGGACGACGACGACAACGACGGATGACGGCGACGACGTCGGTACCGACGACGACAACAACGACGACAATGACGACGAGGACGACGACGACGGACGACGACGACGAAGACGACGGGTGCCGACCACGACGACGGACGACGACGACGATGACGACGACGACGACGACGACAATACCAACGACGACGATAATGACGACGGCGCAGATGATGGACGACGACGACGACGGAAGACTTGCGATTGTTGACGGTCGACGACGACGACGACGATGACGACGAGGACGGCGACGGACGACGACGACGACGACGACGACGGGTGACGGCGACGACGACGGCGCCGACGACGACGATGACGACGATAACGACCATGACGACGACGACGGCCGACGACGGACGACGGGCGATTGACGACGTTGACGACGACGACGACGGCGACGGACGACGACGACGATGACGAATGACGGCGGCAACGACGACAGCGACGATGACGACGACGACGGCGGACGACGTCGGAAGACGATGAGCGATGGACGAAGGACGTCGACGACGACGACGTCGACTGGCAACGGCGCCGACGACGGCCACGCCGACGACGATGACGACGACGACGACGGCGACGGACGACGACGACGATGACGGACGACCACGATGACAACGTCGGCGACGACGACGACGACGACGACGACGACGCCGACGGACGACGACGACGACGACGGACGACGACGAGGACGACGGACGACGACGACGTCAATGACGACGACGACGGACGGTGACGACGACGACGATGACGACGGACGACCATGAAGACGTCGGCGAAGACGATGACGAAGACGATGGGGATGGCGTCGACGGTCCATGACGACGATGACGACGACGATTGCGACGACGATGACGACGGACGACGGCGACGACGACGACGATGACGACGATGATAACGACGACGGCGACGATGACGACGGACGACGACAATGATGACGACGACGACGATGACGGACGACTGATTGGGACGACGACGAGGACGACGACGCCGGCAACGACGGACGACGCCGACGACAACGACGACGTCGGACGTATACAACGGACGATGGATAATGGACGATGGGCAACGACGACGACGACGGACGGTGACGACGACGACGACGACGACGACGACCACGGAAGATGACGACGACGACGACGACGAACGACGACGCCGCGGGACGACGACGACGACAAAGATGACGACGACACGACGACGACGACGGACGGACGACGACACCTTGATGACAAACGACGACGACGACGGACGACCACGACGATGACGGACGATAACGACGACGACGAGCGACGACGACGACCGACGACGACGATGAAGACAATGACGACGACGGCGACGTCGACGCCACGACGACGACGACGACGGCGACGACGGACGATGACGACGACGACGACGAGGCTGACGGACGATGCCGACGACGACGACGAACGACGACGCCGCGGGACGACGACAACGACAAAGATGACGACGACACGACGACGACGACGACGGACGGACGACGACACCTTGATGACAACCGACGACGACGACGCCGGACGACCACGACGATGACGGACGATAACGACGACGACGTCGATCGACGACGACGACCGACGACGACGATGAAGGCTTTGACGACGACGACGGCGACGTCGACGCCACGACGACGACGACGACGACGACGACGGTCGATGACGACGACGACGACGACGACGAGGCTGACGGACGATGCCGACGACGACGACGACGGACGATGACGACGACGAACACGACGACGACGACGTTGGACGATGGACAACGGACGATGGACCGACGACGACGACGAAAATGACGACAATGACGACGGACGACGTGGACGATAATGATGACGGACGATGACGACGGACGGTGACGACGGCGACGACGATGACGACGTCGCGGACGGTGAGGACGTCGACGACGGCGACGACGACGACGACGACGACGAAGGACGACCACGACGACGACGACCGCGCCGATGACGACGACGACGGACGATGACGATGATGACGTGGACGATGACGGACGACGACGACGACGACGACGACGACGACGACGACGACGACGACGACGGACGACGACCACAAAGACGACGACGACGACGACGACGACGACGACGGACGACGACGGACGACGATGACGACGACGACGTTGGACGATGACGACGGATGACGACGACGACGACGACGACGACGGACGACGGGCGATGGACGACGGACGACGATGACGACGACGACGACGACGACGACGACGACGGCGATGACCACGACGAAGGACAACGGGCGACGATGACGACGACGACGACCACGACGGACAACGACGACGATGACGACGACGACGACGCTGGACGACGACGACAACGACGACAACGGCGACGGTGCCGACTACAGCGACGACGACAACGACGACGACGGTTGGTGGACTGTGATGCCAAACGATGACGACGTTGACGACGACGACGAGGGACGACGGACAACGGATGACGGACGACGACAACGACGATGACGACGTCGACGGACGACGGACATCGCACCGCGGACGACGACGACCGACGACGACGACGACGACGACGACGACGACGACGGCGACGACGACGACGACGGCGGTGGCGGCGTCGACGACGACGACAACGACGGGGAGGGATGACCCTCAGCTCTGGTTTTTTTTTCGCACCTGGCATTCTCGTTCTGCAGTTTAAGGCCCCAGCGCCATCCCACTGGTGGACCGTGCTCGGGAGTATGCAGCGGGAAGATGGGGTCTCTGTTTTTTTGTTCGCGGTCTGATGCATTTTTCCCGCAGCGCCTCCAGACACCCGATGTCTTGATTCTTTAACCTGGGGCCCCAGAAAGTCCCGACCCTTTCCCCGGGCAGGTTTTTCGTTTCGACTTGTTTCGATAGTTGCAGACCAGGGCTTGACGAGGGCTCTTGGAGGTCGAAGACGACCCGTCCCCTGAGATCCGACGTTGCCCCAAAAAATGCAGCATCGCGCAACATCACGCCCGATGCCCTAGAGCCCATCATTCTGCGTCGTTCTTCGAGGGAGATCGATCTGTGAGGGCCCTGGGGCCCGAAGCTCGGCAGAAACGCCCAGTGCGCAGAACGTGGCAACGCTCCGGATCTCAGGGTGCTGTCGGTCTTCGTACCCACTCGTTCCGCACCCCTTTCGATCGTAGCGGGCGGAGCAGCGGCCGAGGGCGTCGGATCGTCGGCAGATCGGAGCCGATGAAGATCGGACCCGCCGAAATCGATATCGAGTATGGGTTTAATTCGGGCCTGTACCTCTAGGAATCGTCAAACTAGTCAAAAAACAGTCTGGGGGCGATTTTTTGTACATTTTTTGACTATTTTGGATCATCCTTTTACTATTGTCAATTTTCGTCCAAAATCCCCCTGTAAGGGGACACGCCCGACTCAAGTCTGGGTCGTGGCCGGGGCCGCCGGGGCGGGCCCCCAGGATCACAACCCACCAAACCACCCCAACCCAACCCGAAGGCCCCAATGTGCCTTCCATTCCCAGTGGGGGGGGTCGTCGGTCGTCGGGGGACAATGGAGAAAACTCGTGCGGAACCCGTGCCAGCCCCCCAAAGCCCACAATTTGGGTCTTCGGGTTAGATTCGGGTGGTCTTCGGACGGAGCTAGGACGAGGATAAATCCGTTCCAGGACGTCCTGGAACGCTCTCAGAGCGTTCTGGGACGCTCTGAGAAGGCCGCGGCGCCCGATACATCTTCCAGAGCCGCCGGATCTTAGAGATTTTCGATTTCTCCCCACCCGAATTTAACTTCGTCCTGGCTTCCCCGAGATCCGACGTTGCAAACAAATTGCAATGTCAACACAAAATCACGCCCAGACCCCTTGGATTCCATCTTTCTGCGTCATTTTTCAAGCCGGATCGATCTGTGAGGGCCCCGGGGGTCCGAAACCGAGCGAAGACGCCCGTGGTGAAAAGTTTGCAGCGCCGGGATCGGCGGCGAGCGAGGGGGGGGAAGTGAGAAGGAGAAGGTCTTCTCAAAAGGCGGCGGGACTTCTCAGAAGCCCTCGCGCCTTCTGAGAAGTTTTTGTTGCGTCTTCGGGGAAGGCTCAGGAAACCTCTCAGCAGGCCGGGGAACTTCCGAGCCCTCTGCGAAGGCCTCTTCCCTCTCGCCTCCCCCCCCATGCTCGCCGCCGACAGGACCTCGGGGCTCGTCTGAGGCCTGGTAGGCCGCCACACGCCACAGGACGCGGCCGTCCAGCACCAGCTCCTGCGCCGCAGGGCCGGACCTCCGGCGGGCGGCGCTCCTCCGCCGCGGGCGCTGCTGCTGGACAGGGTCAAGCGCGGGGCGGGCCCCGAGCTGCCCGCCGGCGGCCAGCGGCCGGCGGCCGGCGCGGGGGGCACGCCAGCGGGCAGCGGCTGGGCGTGGAACGTGCCCTGAGATCCTGGCGCTGCAGGCTCTGCACGGCGGGCGTCTGCGCTCGATCTCGGGCCCCGCGGGGCCCTCCCTCACAGATCGCGCGGGCTCGGAGAGTGGCGCAGGGCTTGGGTCCAGGGGGTCCCGGGCGTGATTTCTGGCGATGTTGGGTTTTGGATTGCAACGTCGGATCTCAGGGTCAGGGGGGGCGATAGGTGGGTGCCCAGAGATCCAACGCATTAAAACATCAAGACAGGTTTTTCGCCGTTTTCGGCCTCCAGAAAGCCTGTTTGGTGGGCCCCGTGGCCGTCACCGAACGACTCGGGACGAAGAACCGGCCCCGGGAAATGGGTCGGGACTTCAGGGGCCCCGCACTGAAAAAGTCACGACATCGGAGTGCTGGGTGGGTGGCGACAGGTGCATGTCTTGTGACCGACAGGGGCCCTGAAGGGCCCCCCTGGGGCCCAAAAGGGAGCACAGAAGGTGCTCACTTCTTCCCTTGCCATTTTTTGCCCCACCGCTTAAGCAACGCCCGAGGCGGCCAGCAGCCCGCAGGCGCCGGCTGCGAGGGCATGCCGCAGATGGACGCCTGCTCCGTGATCGTGGTCATGGAGGATCGGGGAAACCTTGAGATCCGGGCGTTGCGTTGCGATCTTTTCGCGCCAGGCGTTCTCGTCCAGTTTCGGGGCACCGGACCATCACAGGTCCACCCGGCTCGCAAAATGTAGCAGAAAGATGGGGTCTAGGGTTCCGGTCTTGATGATTCAAGATGTTGCAATTTTGTAGCAGCGTCGACCCAGGGAGCGAAACACATGAGCGACGGAGGTAAAACGGCGTCCACTGCGCGGACAATCTCGTATAAGCTTCCCGCGCAAGGGTGGCGCGTAAACGCCATCTTCTCCACGCTGTGTGCCACGCAGGCGGCCCGCGTAAGCCGCGGCGTAAGGCCGGTAGGTCTTCTCGCGCAAGCGCGTAAGACCCTCTGTCTTTCGGCGCCCGCATGGATTGAGGTGCCTGGCAGCCGGCCCGGTTTCCGCAAGACTTCGACTCGCTTCGTCGCCAGTTCAGGCGGCGTTGGCTTCACGCGTTGCCCCAGTCCGTGGATCTGGCGCCCTCGCGCCATATCCACGGAGCCGCAATCAATGCTGGCGTGTGACCGCGAGGAGGGCGTCACGGAGGAGCAGATGAGGCAGCTGGCGGCCGCGCAGGGCGCCGAGGCGGACGTGCAGGTCATGGGCAGCCTCGGCATGATGACGCTGCCCTTCGGCAGCGACAGGGCGAGGTGCTGCGAGGCGTACGAGCGGATCGAGGCCAGCGGCAGCCCCCTCGTCAAGGGCGTCGAGTTCGACCAGCCGATGTCGCTCCGCTGAGCTCGCTCGGCGCTCGAGCGGGCCCCACCATCTGATGGCTTCGGGTGCCAGTCGCCTGGTCTGATAGCCTCGGATGCCAGTGAGTCAGGGCCATCGGCGCGTGCCCGGGCACGCGGCTCTCTGCATAAGGCAAGAGTCAGCTGGTCTGGCCCGTGCGTGCGCTCATATCTGGAGCGGGGGGCGGCGTCGAAGAAGGAACAAGTGCATAAACTCACGTAGACTTTCGGAGGTCCGCGTGGGTTCCTTGGATGGGCGCTGGGCCCCCCCGCCCGCAGCGCCACCGGCGCCGCTCCTGGCGCGCTCCGCGCGCCAGGGAGGAGACTCAAGCGCCGATCGAAGACGCCGATCAAAGAAATCCGCCCAGAGCTCCGAAAGCCTAATTATGTTTATGCAGCCTGCTCGTCCCCTGAGGCGGGGGCGGGGCCGCGCTGGGCCAGCAGAGGTATCCTGTGGTGATCGGAGGAGCGCGCGGTGCCCTCGGCTTGTACAAAGTAGCTTGTCGTCGTCGTCGTCGTCGTGATCGTCGTCTTCGTGCGATGACGACGACGATGACGACGTCGACCACGACGACCTGTTCTCGTCATACACCCGATGTGCGACTTGAAAAAGTGTCGCTTGGCATGCGAGTGCCACGCCGAGCGCGTGGAGCGCGCCGCGCGGCGCCGGGTGTGCGGCAGCTCGGGGGCGCGTCGCGGCTCATGGCCCAGCCCTTGCGCGGTGCGCCTTCCGAGGAGGAGCGAGGAGGAGGAGGAGGAGGAGGAGGAGGAGGAGGAGGAGGAGGAGGAGGAGGAGCGAGGAGGAGGAGGGTGTCCAGCGCAATGTGCTTCTGAGTGCGCGTTCTGGTGCCAGGTGGCTCCCAGTACCAGGACGGCGCTGGCCTTGACAGGGAGGCCAAAGGCACGAAGAGTGAGCGTAGCCAGTGCGCCCGAATTGTCTCAGAGAGAAAAAACTGCTCCCAGCGCCCTCGATGTCCAGGCTGCCTGGCCTGACAGGGAGTGTGCAGCTTCCGCTCCTCCTCCGTTGCTGCTCCTCCTCATCTTCCTCTTCCTGCGCTGCGCAAAAGGCTCTGTCAGGGCACCCCTCGAAGCCTATTCCCTCCCAGGTACCGTAGTACGGCACCCAGGAAGGCGGAAACGAGGCAGAACAAATGTTCAGGCTGCAGCGGTGGGCAGCGTCGACGACAGGGGACGATACGAAGGCCGAGAAGTGGTGGTCGGGCCGAGGGGCCGAATCACGAGCGCTGGAGGGCGACGAGCAGGTAAGGCGGGTGCGGCGGGACCGATAGCCACAGCCACCAGTATCGTCAGCACTGTGCCTCGTCGTCGTCGTCGTCGTCGTGGTCGTGGTCGTCGTGGTGGCCGTCGTGGTCGTCGTCGTCGTCGTCGTCGTCGTCGTCGTCGTCGTCGTCGTCGTCGTCGTCGTCGTCGTCGTCATCGTCGTCGACGAGGCGGGGATGGAGCCACCGCCACGGGGGGTGCGGCGGAGCGACGGACGCAGACACGGCGCGGTGAGGCTGGAGGACAGCGAGGTTGGCGGAGGTGAGCGGGAGCGAGGGGCTGCTGCGGTCGGGCCCCCCACAGACGTCGTAGCCTGGGTGGTGCGAGTACAGGCGCGCGCCCACAATCACAGACCCATCCACCCACCCACACCCACACCCACCCACACACACAGTCATCCCCACCCTTCCATCCCTTCCACCTCTCCCCCTACAGTGGAAACCCATGCCAAGAAACACCCTGCTTGCCTCCAGGGTGCACTGCGCTTCTTGGGTTTCGATGGTTTTGCTGTGGAAAGCGTGACGCTCCAACACAAAAAAACGATGCACGTCCTGGGGTCTCAGGGTTGGGTTTCTTGTGGAAGGTTTCGTGCAGTTAAGCTCCTACTGTAGCCGAATGAGTGGGGAGAGGTGGCGGAGCTCGTAGGGCTCCCAATCTGTGATGCTCGTGCCCGCACAGGGCCTCCATCCCCTGAGATCCTGGTGCTGCATTTTTTCACAACAGGCGTCTTCGCCCGGTTCCCAGCCCCGGGGCCCTCACAGACCGATCCGGCTCGAGAATTGACGCAGATAGAAGGGTCTGGGGGTCCGGGCATGATTTGTTGTGCTGCATTTTTTGCAACGTCGGATCTCAGGGAAGCCAGGACAAAGATAAATTCGGGTGGGGGTGAATCGAGAATCTCTGAAATCCGGCGGCTCTGGAGGATGCATCGGGCGCCGCGGCCTTCTGAGCGCCCCAGAACGAACGCTCTGAGAGCGTTCTGAGACGCCCTGGAACGGATTTATCCTCGTCCTAGCTCCGTCCGAAGACCACCCGAATCTAACCCGAAGACCCAAATTTTGGGTTCTGGGTGGTCCCCACGAAGAGGCCGTGCCCGACAGGCCATGGGGGGCCCCGTCCAGCACAGGGAAGACCAGAAGGCAGGTTGGGAAGCCGTCGTGGCAAGAGCCAGGTGGCGGTCAAGGTGCAGTTGGCCCGTTGAAGGTGGCGCTGTGGCACTGATGGCCGAGAAGCAAAATCGGGAGTGGCGCGTGTGTGGCTGTGCCCGGCAGAAGGCAGGGCGGCATGGTGGCGCGCAGAGAGGGAGGTCGTGCTCATCAGTGGGGCAGTTGCAGCCGATGAGTGACGGGGTGGACCTGCGTGTTCGCGAAAGCCGCTGGAGTCGGAGTCGTTTGCAGTGCTCCTCGGAGTGAGGGTGGCCCGTGCCACCCGTCGCACGCGGGAGAGGGAGTCGAGGGGTTGGCCCGACGTCTCCACTGTCGTGGTGGTGGGGTGGCGTGCAGGAAAGAGGGCTCCCCGCGTTGGCTGCTGCTGCCAAGCGCTGCGTCTGAGGTGGCAGTCGTAGCAGTGCTGGTTGGTGTGAGGTGGTCGGTAGGGCCTGCCTGTCAAGATAGGTCTGGGCAGTCGGCATGCGCGTCCTTGGTGTGCATCCTGACCGTTCTAGAGTCGAAATTGTGGTTGTGGTGATCGTGAATGTAATTGTGAAGGCGGGCCTCTTTGTAGTAGACTCTGTAGTTGCAGCGCGGTGGCGCTTTCTCATAGAAGTCGAGATCGTTACTGTCATTGTAGTGGTGGTACTTTGTGGTGCAGTTAGCGGCAGCGGGGGGAGAGACTTGGATGGATGCGTGCGTGTGGGATAACGATAGGTCGGTGTGTCCGCGGTCGGGCACCTGGACGGCAACGTCGTAGTACTGGCTGAGGTTCATCCGAAGCGCTGGGCGACGGCTGTCCGCGGATGGTAGGGCCGGCGCTGTGTGGTTGGCCCTGCGGATGTGCACGGTGCTCTGGAGCGTTTGGTCGAAGCCCTGTAGGTCGGCGTAGTCACCCATCCTGCCCCTGGAGACTGCTGCCTCGCCCGCCGTGGTAACAACCAGGGTTTGTGGTCCAGTTTGGGGTTGAAGTACTTGTCTATTTCACTTAGCCTTAAGTCGGGCCTGTTCCTCTACAGGAGGAATATTCCAAACTAGTCAAAAAATAATCAGGGGACGAGTTCTGGAGTATTTGGAACCATTTTGGATTTTGTTTGACTATTTTTTATTCTTCGTCCAAAATCCGCTTCTAGGGGGACATGCCCGACCTAAACGTAGCCTCCGGTCGTTCAGCATGTGAGACATCCATTCGGTCGCGCGTCTTTGGCACATGGTGGAGCATCGGTCGCCGTGTCAGCTTCACTGGTGGGGCGCGGCAGTGCTCTGGAGGGGGCCCGTGGACGAGTGGCAGCTTCGGGTAGGCCGCCTCTTCGGGTGCACTTGTCGTCCTCGCCAGGCTCATGCAGCGCTGGAGGCCGTCCGTGTCCTCCTCGCGTGGTGCCTTGTCGCTGGGTGCCTCCCCCGTTGGCCCCCGTAGAGGCTCCCCTCCTCTTCGCCCTGCGGCTGCTGCTCCGATCCTCTCCAGCGTGCGCGCTCGTCGCCCTCCCGGTTGCTGCGCACCCGTGTCGCCCTTGCCGAGGTCTTTGTGGCCGTCCGTGCCGTCGCTGTCCCCGTCGCTGGGCGGGTCTTCTCTGTGATCTGGGATCCAAGGCATGCCCGCGCTGGGCTGGCCAAGCAGGTGGTCCACGACGGCCATGGTCGATCCTCGATCCTCGACCCTCGACCCTCGATCCTCCTCGATCCTCCTCGATCCTCGATCCTCGATCCGCCTCGATCCTCCGATCCTCGATCCCCGAGGAGCAAGAGCGTGGCGGGAGTGGTCGAGCATGGCAGTGGTCAAGAGCGTGGCGGGGAATGCGGGCAATCGCGCCCTGAGGGTGGCACGCCATGTCTGCGAAGCAAGCCTGTAGCAACCAGAGTCGTAGTTTGCAGTGCATGGTGAGGGAAGCTTCAACACAGTCAACGCAGCGCGCACCCAAACCGTAAGCATTTTGGCCCGTGAGCCGCCTCGCGCGGCGTGCGTCGCAGCCACCGTACTTTTAGCCTTGATCCTGAGAAAAACAGTGTATTTTGATCAAGTCGAAAACTGAGCATGTGCCTAGAAAAGTTGCAGAGTCTGGAAAAGTTTTGGTGTTGCCCCGCCCCAGCGTCTGCTGCGGCAGCTCCCTCGGTGGCTCGGCGTATGTATGCCCGCTGTGCCGCTGCGCCGTCGTTTGAGAGCTGGTCCTTGTAGGAATGCGTTGGTCCTCCTCGTCCTCATGCTCATCCTCATCCTCTTCATCGTCCTCATCGTCCTCAACCTGTTCCTCATCCTGTTCCTCATCCTCATCGTCATGCTCATCGTCCTCATCCTCTTCCTCTTCCTGTTCCTCCTCCGCAGGCCAGAGTGCGCCCCACCCATCTCACCACCCATGTCGGTAGATGGGCATGGTGATAGTACATGATGCCGCTCGTCTGCAGGTTGTTGCTCTTAGCTTGCTTTGCAGCCCTTGGTAGCAGCGCCCCAGAGCTCGCATTGTCTCGAGTACTAAACAACTGCGTGAACATAAACTGTCGCAGGTCCACGCGGATTTCTTGGATCTGCGCTAGACCCCCCTTCCCTAGCGCGCGGAGCGCGCCAGGGGCGGCGCCAGAGGCGCCGTCAGTGGGATCCAGCGCAGATCTGAGGGATCTGCGCGGACCTCTGTAACTTTCATGCTTACGCAGTTTGCTGTTCATTTGTTGTCGTTCATCGCCCGTCGCCTGTCGTCTCCCACCCCGTTCATCTTCTACGCATCGAAGACGCCTACGGCGAATCACCGTCGCCCCCTGCCTTTTGAAGTCGCCCATATGTGGCCGAGCGCTGTGGCAAGAGCTATGCCAAACTATCGGACAATATGTTCACCCAACCGTTGTGGATACCCTTCGGGACACACTTAGGGGAGGATGGCGGGGAAGATCAGGAAGAGGAGGAGGAGGAGGAGAAGGAGGAGGAGAAGGAGGAGAAGGAGGGGGTATCTTGGGAGCCTCCGGGGCACTCTTGGGGCCTCCCGGGAGCTTCCTGGGAGCCTCTTGGAGGCATCCTGGGGGCCTCCTTGGGCCTCTTCGGGGCCTTTGGGGGCTTCTCGGGGCCTCTTTGGCAGTCTCAGGGCATTCCTGGCCCGTCTGACGCCGTCGGAAGCCGTCTTGGGGGCCTCTCTGGGCCGACTTGAATGCATCTTGGGGTGCTCCAAGGCCGTCTTGGAAGCCATCTTGGGCATCTTGGAGGCCACTTGGGCCGTCTGGGGGCCCTCTTGGGGCCGTCTTGGGGGCCTCTTGGGCCGGTCTGGGGCCATCCTGGAGGCCTCTTGGGCGATCTTTCAGGGCTCTTGGGCCGT